GCTAACTGCTGGTCCCTGTTTGTTTGTTTTTTTTTTTTTTTAAATCAGGTGAAAGCAAGAAGGCAGTCCCTTGCTATCACAAATTATGCAGTCAAGTTTCCCACATTTGGGAAAATTGCAGGGGTCAGCATATCTGGAAGAGAGATTTATTTTATGTAAGATAGATATACCCAAATACACATGTGTATATGCTCGTATGTATGTTTATATAGATATATATGTATATGTCTATAAAAACATATACAAAACACATACACACACATATAAATATAGGTATGTGAGTGTATATATATTTATATTTATATATCACAAAAGTGATAAAGATGACGAAACATAATGAGCTTGAAAATCAAAATAAGAAAATCTAGTGATCTAATGTTTAACTGGCCAAACTCCAGGGCTCATAATAATACCTTAGATTAGTGCTTTTATAGTTGAAAAGTCCTTCTCAAAAAATCATCTCAGCTTCTCTAAAATAATAGTAGCTAACCCTTATATAACATCCACTCTGCGGTAGGAACTGTTCTGAGTGAGTGACATACATCATACATGTATATACATTCTCACTGAATTTTTTTTTTGCTTGTATATTTTTTTAAATCACCAAAGGGCATGTGTACTTGCCAGACAGAGAGAGAGAGGGTAGGAGAAGAGAAGGTGAAAGCACTCCATAACAGGGTGCGGTCATGTTATCATCCCTTCTCCTCCATTCCTCTATCCTGTCAGTATTTGGGGCATGCGTGCACACAGGTGCCCAGTGTTTTTCAAGCCACCAGAGCTGGAATTCAAACCATGACAGGCCATGTAGATCCAGCTCCCTTACCCTGTAGGACATAAGACTGGCCCATTCCCACAGACCTCTTAAAATCACCCCATAAAATAGAAATCATATAGTTATTATCTTATTAAGATTCTTATTTTAAAGAGAAGGTGCCTAGGCAGAGGTTAAGTAATTTTGTGCCAATTACTTAAGCAGCAGAACCAAATGATAAATCTAGCAGTCTGACTGCAAAGCTCATATACTAACCACTATGTTCTCTTGTCTCTATAAATGAATGTCACTTAAGAAGAGTGATCCTGGAGCCAGAAGATAGCATAGTGGTTAAGGTGCTAGACTCCCACGTGGTCAACCCCAGTTCAAGTTCTAGACCCGGTGGCTTTAAACTCACACCAGGCCTTTATCGTGCAATCTTGAGAGGAGAAGGGATTGTGACCATCTCCCTAGGGTGAGATTTCTCACTTTCTGTCTCTCTGTCTCTGTCTCTCCCAGCAAATACATGTGTCCTATAGCAAAAAAAAAAAAAAAAAAAAAAAAAAAAAAAAAAAAA